TTTGTTATTCTCATCGGTAAGAGCTTACCCGATAAACGTTTGGTAAACAACCATTTAGACCCTTGAAAATTACCAGTCATGTTCATTACATCATTACAAGTCGAGTGAGATCGAGACCTACCAATTTCATTTTTGATGGATAAAATGCAACAAAATTTGTTTTAGTTCTTATTTAGTGTAACAATTTTTGTTAACCAATATAACAGAGTTTCAAAATTTTATATTAATAGTAAATTTCAAAATTTCCTATTTAACATAATATAGTTTCAAAAGTTCCTACTTTTTGGAAATACAATCGTGATTTTATATTCAATTTTGTTTTCTTAAAAGTTAAAACATCTTTTAGGCCCTTTAGCCTTTTGGACGATTAAGACTTTAGGAGCAAATTATTAAGCCCATATTTTGAATTATTTTACACATCTAGAGATTTTATATACAAATATGTTTTCTTAACAACTATAAGATTTTTACAGTATCGCTCGAACAAGCCCAGCCCCGTTTATAGGGCGATTAAGGGCAAATTACCAAACCCACAAAAAAGGTCCTTGGACAAAAAATTGGGTTAGTCGGACCAAGTCCGCAAATAATCACCTCTAGGTTAAACCTTCGATTTCAGTATGATGCCTTCTCAGGGGTGTACCATTACTTAACGCATATATGGTTTTTTGGACTTGAACCGATGAACATGAAATTACATGCCTATTTTTATATTTGAACATACTTGATCATGTCTTCTTAAGACTATTATGGATGTACAATGTAATTCCAGTAGTCATTTTTCATGATCTTGCTAAGGGGTCGTTTACCAAACCCTTATCCGAGTAAGTGGTTACCGACAAAATTCAACACTCTCACTTGCTACTGGATGAAATTTTAGTCCACCAAAACGATGTGTACGCAATAATTTATCTTGTAAGCGCTAACTGTCTTAAGAGTCATCGCCCTCACTTACCGGCTAAGACTCTCGGTCTTTCTCTTAGCTCTTACTGCGTAAGATTCTTGATCCTTGTCATACGCAACCTGTAAGGTTTTTGACTTGATAAGCTCTTATCCGGATAAGTGTTTGATAAACGGCCCCTAACTGATTTTAGCCTCAAACCTTTGGGGTAGATCAACTATTAAATCCTTAGAATATATCCTCGAACTAAAAGCATAGTAAGAACTTGGATAAAATCTAAGATCATGTAAATCACCTTCCGTAAGTAATATCTTAACCATTTACTATCTGTGTTATACACAGAAATTTGCTTGAGAATAATCTTAAATCACACACTAACGATTTTGGCAGAAATCGAGAGCTATATACTAAAGAAAATCGTAATAGCTCGTACACTAAAACCAAGAATGAATGTCCCGTTAAAGATAAACGATTACCGGAATTCAAGAGTAATTATTGAGCAGTTAGGAGAGGTTACAAACTGTTCCATAGCAGTTATGAACAAGTTGCATAAGTAGGCGAACCCATCTGTGGGTAATCATCAGCGCTTAGTCCCACTAAGCCCCATGCCCCCATCTGCATCACCGACTAAACGTCAATGTGACCGACGAAACCTCATCAACGTCACCCTATTTAATCAAACACTGAAATCGTCAATGTTATCTCCTCTCATATTTCGTTCAAATTTCGTGAAGCTGCCCAGAACCCCACAAGGGCGGGCCCCTTTGACCCCTGACATGCCATATGACAACGTCCGGCAATCCCGAGTTCTAGCTAGCTTATATACGTGTGCACTCCGCACCTCCTAGTTCATATTTTAGCCTAACTATCAACCCCTTTATTCTCTTATGAATCCAAGTACACCAAATAACCCGATAATTTCACTAAAATCACCAACGAAGTCTCCTAAGGTTTGTCTTATTGTTAACTTCAAACCCCATAAGATTAGTCGAACTACGCACAAGCTGACCCACACACCCACAATTACGAAAGATAGATTTCAGACTCTGATACTATTGAACCTGATGTTGATTCAAGTTTTCCTCCCTCTTCAGATATTATTTACTTCAATTTCCATGACTCGTCTCAATATAGTTCACCTAAGCTCACTTTTAAACTTTGTTGGTTAAAATTAGGAGTAGGATCCTACTTCAATGTCTTGGAGATAGGTGGCGCATCCCCTTTTCCCTAGCAGATGAAGGATCGTGTGAGAATAGGAGTTAAAGATGAGAATAGGAGTTAAGGTGAGAAGTGTAGGAAGGGATTTGGTCCATTGATCACTTTTAATCCCAAAACAACCCATGAATTGCACTTTAGAAGGGCATTGATCTAGTGTATCTCATTAGTGTTGATCTAGTGGTTCTCTTCAATTAGAATTGATCCAATGGTGGAGATCCCTTCTCACTCTTCTCACAATAACTTCTATTTTCACCGGAACCAACCCTTCCCTAGCAACAGAGCTAATTGTAGTTCCTAGTGCATGTAGCCGAGTCACGACTGACGGATAAGCTCGACGCTAGATCGAATCAGACTAGCAACTTGCAATCTTTCCAACTTCAACAGAAAGCATACCTAACATCACCTCTATTGAACCACAAGGGTGGTGCCTGATTGGTTTGAGCTTGGGCTCCAAAGGTCAAAAGTGGCTGGGGGTCCCAGGTTCAAATCCAAGGAGAAACAAAAATCCCCTGACCATGGAGGTTCAAATGCGGTGACTCTAGGCTACCTGCAAAGCAGGTTGTTGTCCTGAGATTAGTCGGCTCGCATAGCGGGTTGGATATCCAGGTTAATAAAAAAAAATCACCTCTATTGTAAGGAATGATCTAAAATGAAATTTTCATGTCGTTTATCTTTAGATATGTTTGTGGTAATTTAACATAAAGGCTTTCAAAAAATTACCACTAGACATATAAATTTATGCCCACATCACCACTAATGAATAAATCAGGAAACAGCTGAAATTGCATGAAGAAAGAACCACCAGAAGCTGATGAAAGACTAGTTGAAAAGGGGTGTTTGCTTTTTAAATTGTTGTTTTGGATAACATGGGTGTCCAAGCCAGCTTGCATCCACCTCGACTAATTCCATGAGACCCTAAAGTTAACATCTAGACAAACCTCTAGTAGCTGTGAGGAGACTCGAACGGATGACCATTGTGGAGCAACCACGAGGTCTTACCAGTTGAGGTGCCCCCAAGGGTTAGTAAACACTATTGTTGTCAAAAAGATGAGAGAAGATCGAGAGAGAGGAAGTACGGTAGTAAAGAAACAAGTTAGCGAGTCGGGGGTAGAACTTAAAGACATGTACTCTTAGGAAGCAAATGCAACTCAGCAGGTCATGTTCACCTGCGCTCCCATTACGAGATGTTTATATGCTCAAAACCATCGAAAGCTTCCTATGGAATACAAATAAATCAACCTAGAAAACCGAAGGTAACCAAATGATTATCAACAGTTTGTATGTTTAGGATTTCCACCAATCATAAGTCTGAAGCATTATTTCACCTATTTACTTGCGAATGTCTAGTGCCTGAGTTTGGTCAAAGTCAACCTGAAGACCTGATTAAAGAACAACAATAGAGATAGCTTGAAGTTGACATTTGGTTCATGGACAATTGCAAGAAGAAAGTTAACACTCATTTCACAGTCTCATTAAAGAGGAAGGAGGAGGGAATGTTGCAAAAGAGGGAATAGGGTGGGTAAAACAATTATACCTTTTGCCTGTTCATGAGGCAGTGTTAGAGCTTAAGAGATGTGTTTGGTACGTGGACGAGACAATCTGGTGTTTGGTACAACTAAGACATAACTGAACAAGTTGTCTGTAAAACAGTTAAGTAAGTTATCCAGGACATGACAAAAATGTTCAAATGACCAGATTGTCCTCAATTGACATTTAAGGTTTTTATATCATATGATAGTCATAGAGGTCATAAAAATCAAGTAAAATGCATACACAGCAGGGCGGACCAGGTTCTCCATGCTCCTATCACAAAATGCATATACAGTCTAAGCAAGCAAAAGATTCCAATAGAAAAGCAGATCTACCAAAAAAACCAAAGCTAAACAAATAGTTTCATCAGTTTGTATTTGTAAAGACAAAGAATTGGAGAGCATAAGCATATACTTGAATAGCTGCTTCCAACTGCAAGCCAACGTCACATTAAGCCCTCCCTACCTATTTTATTGCCTTATAGTTATCCCAGAAAATCACCTATCCAAATGTATGATCATTCAAATTTAGCAACAAATGTCCAAAGACGATGCCAACAATCTTTTGTTTAAGATCATACAACCTCCTCTCAACCAAAAAAATTTACAAAATAAGGAAGTCTTGACCCTTTTAGTATGGATAGATTATAAGCCTGGGCATGGATGTTTTTATTTGGACATCGTGTTTGGGCTACAGGATTTATGTTTTAATATTATATTACCAACGCCCAACAAAGAGGATTATGTGGGAATCTAATGAAATCACATAAGATATTTGAAGTTAACTACACAGATTTCTAACAACATTGACAAAAAGAAAGGATCATACTTCAAAACAGGGGACTCAATGGCAGAAGCAAGCCTCTATCAAATTCAGTTCTATTCATACTCCAATGCATCTCAAGTTCCTGTCTAGTCTACCATCACCCCATTCAACTTTAAACCTCATTCTGATCAGGGACGGACCCAGCACGGTGCCACCATATTATTTCTTCATCGAAGGGTAAAAACTTTAGATTTATGGAAGGTGCAACCGTATTAGTTTGTTGTGTGTCACCGTGTGTATTTTGAAACTACAATGAGAACAAGTTTTCTTTGGTAGAATTGGTTTTCAAGGCTTTTCTTCCATCCCAGACCCGAGTTTAAATCTGCTAGTTTCATTTTTTTTAGTCAAATGGTGCGACCCTTTGAAATTTTTTGCCTATATTTATTTCTGTAGTCAAATGATGCAACCGTTTGAAAAAATTCTGGATCCATTCTTGATTCTGATAAACAAGGAAACATCCCACTAACCTTCCTATTGATCTAGAACAGTAACATAGCTGAATAAATATCTCCAAAAATTTACACCACTATAGGTTAATAGCTTATTAACTCGAATTAGAACAAGCAACATATATAAATATTCTACGGACGATATCAACATTAAGAAAGTATGGCTTTAAAATTCAACAAATTCAGCATTTTTACAACCTTCCTGTAAAAAATTACACAAATTTCATACAAGAAACCCTAAATTTCAGCAGGAAGCATCAAACCGTAGATATTCTTCATTACTATAGCCATATTAAAATGAGCTTACTTGAGATCTTTGGCAGTAACACCATACTTCTCCTGCAACTTTGTAAGCTCCTCTTCTTTCTTCTTCTGATCGAACTTCTTACTCATCTTCGCCTGTTGATAATACAGCACAATCAGGTACCTATTGGCAACGTTGAAACCTGACAAGTGATCAACAGCGGTCTTGGCGTCGTAGATGTCTTCATAAACGACGAAGGCGGTGCCGCGAGTGTCCTTGTTGGTGCCGATACGTATCTGGCGTATGGCGCCGTACTTCCCGAATATATCGTACATCTCCTCGCTGGTGATGTTAAAAGGTAAGTTGCGTACATAAAGAACCCTGTTGACCTCTGGTGGCAGCCTGGTGTTGCCCTTACGCAAGCTGATGGTCGCCATTGGAGTTGGAGATGCTTGAATTGCAGAATTCTAACAGAAAGATGTAGGTTTGTTTCAGGGGATGAAGATTTGGGGATTCTTTTTATGGAAAAGTAAACCCTAAACCCTAAAATAAACTTTCTTGTTTGGAATGATTAAGTCCTTGAATTTTTTTTTAGAACAAATAAGTCCTTGAACTTTCCAAAATATATTAAATAAGTCATTGGACAATTTTTTGGCACAAATAAGTCTTTGGACATTCTAAAATATGTTAAATAAATCCTTAGACATTCCAAAAAATGTTAAATAAGTCCTTGAACAATTTTTGGAACAAATAAGTCCTTGGACATTTCAAAAAATGTTAAATAAGTCCTTGAACAATTTTTGGAACAAATAAGTCCTTGAACAATCCAAAACATGTTAAATAACTTCTTGAACTTTTATAGAACATGTTGGATATATTCTTATGACTTGTACAACTAGTTAAAATGGTAATTATTTTTTTGTAAATGTAAGTATCTTTTTGTTATATTTGTTTAATTAAATACTTTTTGGTTCAAAAAATATTTAGGGGCTTAATCGTTCAAAATATGAATGTTCATTGAGTTTTTTTTCGGATTTTTTTCATTATTTTACCACTTTATTTTTTTCAAAAAGTTATTTAACATGTCTTGGATTGTTCAAGGACTTATTTGTTCCAAAAATTGTCCAAGGACTTATTTAACATTTTTTGGAATGTCCAAGGACTTATTTGTTCCAAAAATTGTCCAATGACTTATTTAACATTTTTTGAAATGTCCAAGGACTTATTTGTTCCAAAAATTGTCCAATGACTTATTTAACATATTTTGGAATTTTCAAGGACTTATTTAACATGTTTTGAAAAGTACAAGGACTTATTTGTTCTAAAAAAAAGTTCAAAAACTTAATCATTCCAAACAAGAAAGTTCATTAGTTTTTATTGTACTTTTCCCTTCTTTTTAAAGCCAAGACAAGAAAACCGACTAGCAAAATTTTCATTAACATTTGAGTAAACTACGTTTTTGGTCGCTGTTGTTTGTTGTAAATTATTATTTTTATCCTTTTGATTTTAAATTTACAATTTTAATCCCAATAATTTATAACTTATTGCTTTTTTTATTACTCTAACTAACTTCGAGATTGTTTGTTTACTTCTTAACAGTTTTATTAAAAGACAACATTTGTATCATTAAAAGAGCTGAATTGAAGAAAAAAATTTATTTCTTAATTGTTCTAAAACCCCTGAATGGTTTTGTATCTTGAGTCTCGTTTAACCATTAAACACCTTAATTTTATTGTAAATAATTATCAAATAATTATATTTTATTTTTCACTATATCATAAAAGTTTCTTAATCATTCTGACTACTTAATCATTTTACATCAAATCATTCAACAACCATCAACTTTAAATTTGGTTTTTCTTTTTTTTTTTCCCAGAAAGGAGGTTATTTCTTTTTTTTTTATCTTCTTCTAAAAAAATATATTTTGCTATATTATAATACATTATTATATTATAGTAATTTATTGTGTAAATTAGAAATTTGTTCCCCTAGTTATATAAAAACTATGAATTAGGTCCTATAAACGGAATAATTACAAGTATAGTCATTATGGTTAGGGTGTACAAAAACTCGACTAATGCTGACCTAATCCAACCCGAGATAACCCAATCGGAAGCCATCCAAATACCTTATCAAGTTGTAAAGTTTTTAAACCGTAGGTGATGGGTTGGAATTGAATTAGGGTCGTTTGAACTATACCCAACCAGATGAACCCGACATCATTCTTATCATTGGATTTAATATAATGTTAAATCTCTTATTATTATATACATTAGACTGTTAGATCATCATCCTCTTCGTATACATATACTTTATATATCTTCTCGTCTTTATATAACTTAAGTATTTGTTTTCATATATATGTCTAAAAAAATGTGATCTTCTATATAAAAACTAAGAAAAACATTTGAATTGATAAGTTGTACAAATTAATTGATCATCAATAAATAAATTATGAGTAGAAAAAAACACCATGTTCAAGATAGCAAACATAAAAGAATATTTTGAAGTACAAAAGTTCAACCCAAACAGCCCGACTAATCCAACCTTATACGATAAGAAAACCCACCACTCATTGCGAAGAACCTTTACATTTTACACTCGGTTATCTTTCCATCCCTCCCATCGGTCACCCTCCCTCCCTCCCTCCCCACCACATCATTGTCACTCTTTTTCATATTACCACACAAAGAGAACCTGCAACCAATTGAACCCTTCTTCTTCCTCACACCATCAATCCCCGATGCCCAACCATCGTTCCTCGTATTTGCAACCTAACCGATCTCGTACCACCGCCTTCCTCTTCACCATTGATATTGCGTCCTCTAAAATCTTCTTGTTTTTTCGCACCAAAAAAGGGCAATGATGATTTCTTCCTCCCAAACCCCTTCTCCCACATCCTCTACAAAAGCTTGGAATAACTAGTATATGCATATATATATATATATATATATA